GGTCGACGCTCCTCATGTGAGCCTCGGCCTCAGCTGATTGATATCCTGATATCTGGAAATAAAGCGTTTTGTGGTTTGCAGCAAGTTTGGTCTCTCAAGTGATTCTGGGTAGTCATAATCTCCTGTGGCTTGAGTGGGGGGTCTCCCCACTTCAGGAGCCTAACAGCAGCCAGGCACAATGCCGGTGTTTTACTGTAGTGGACCAAGACAGATTTCCAGTGGCTGAGAGTACTTGCAAAGTCACTTTGGTTATGTTGTGTGGGGTGCTGAAGCACAACATGGGAAGGAAGATACTCTGTAGTCATTTAATGGTTTCTTTGGCCTTACAGAATGGCAGGTGATCTTGAGCTTGAGGGGGTTGCTTAGGTGTCTCGCTTCTCTCCAGTTGGCATCAGGTGGAGGTGCTGGTCTGAGTTATGTCAAGTCAGGCAGTTACTCCATCCACTTAAACGGAGTTCAGGAGGGTCAGCAGCACCAAGAACAGCCTCTTTTACTTTGTTTACTCATGTGGAAACTCTGGGGGACCTGCATTAGACAGAGCACTAAGTGTAGACCACAGTTCCTGGTGTCTGATCTGGAAAGCTTACAATCGACCCATAATATCCTTATTAGCCTGAAAAGTCATTTTCGGGGGGTGGTGGGTAGTCAAGAGCTGGGGTCAAGGGAGTGGGGGTCCCACACAAGAGGGGTGTTCTGGGCTCAGAACAAAGCCAGGACAAGGGGCACCACCCAGCCATCTCCAGTTTTCAAGGGCAATTTAGTTAAGGTCTCTTTTTAGGATTCTGTTCATCCTCTTTACCTGCCCTGAGCTCTGGGGACAGTAGGAACAATGGACCTTGCAATTAGTCCCCAATATCTCTGACAATCCTTGACTTACCCTAGAAACAAAAGCAAGACTGTTATCTGATCCAATTACCTCAGGCACTTGAAACCACCGGAAAATTTCTTCTAATATCTTTTTGGTCACCACAGTAGCTGTTTCCTGCTTGTTGGGGAAAGCCCCAACCCATCTAGAGATAGTATCTACAAGTACTAGAGGGTATCCATATTTTCCTGGCTTAACTTCTTCAAAATTGGCTTCCCAATATAATCTAGGCTATTCTCCCTAGGAATTTTCCCTGTTTACTCTTGGCCTCTTAAGCATTTGCTTGCTGGCATACCTTACACTGTTCTACTATCTCTCTGGCCCACACCTGAGGTCCATTATACATCTTAGATCCCTTGGCTGCTTCGATGTGCTTTTCTCTCAAGTGAGTCCATCTGTGCATTTGGCTTAGTGAGTTTTTTGTTTGCTTTCTGGGGAGTATAGTTCTCCCTTCTTGTGTCCACCGTTGCCCTTTTTTCTCTAGGTAACAGTTGGTAGGTGGCTAGGTATCTGAGTCCTTTTCTGTTCTGTGTGTTTTAAGTGAGGCCATCCCTTAATCCAGTCCCATTCCCTAGTAGGTGTCTCTTGTAGCCCCATAACCGAGAAAGGCTCCTGCATAGCCACTTCTGGAGCCACTTGATCTGTCTGGTTATAGCCTTGGGTCACTGAGTCTCCTCCCTTCTGGTGTCCTGGGCAACAAATAGTACTCACAGTTGCTGACTTCATCAGGGCATCCAAGAGATCCAAGATTTCTTCTGATACAAGCAGTCCTCACTCTTGTTATGTAGCCCTGTAGACATGGGCTGTGGCAAAGGCATATCTGCTGTCCATGTAGATGTTAATTTTCTTTCCAGCCCCAATTTCCAAGGCTGCTTTCTGTGCAGTTGTGCCCTGGGGTTGGGAATAGAAGTTCAGCCCAGATGACATTTGTGCCATCCACCACTGCAGCACCAGTTTGTCTCTGACCAGCTTCGAGAAAACTGCTCCCGTGTGTAAAGCATTCTCCTGGCATGGGTCAGTAGGAAAAGTCTATCTTCCACCGATGGGTTCACCTTTTGGGCCATTTTGTTGCAGCACATCAGGCATTAAGTGTATCTAGGCCCCCATCATGGAGAGTAAGTCTCGCCCAACCAAGTATAGGGACAGTCTGGGGTGACCATAAATGAATGGGATATCCAGCCCATTCGTAGGTCCACTGATCTTCAGGTAGCCTATGAATAAATACATTTTGGTGCCAGTGGCTCCTTGGAACCATGATCTTTTCTTGGAAATGGGGCCATCAGCTTCAAGGAGGACCAAGTGTTGAGCCCCTGGGTCCACCAAGAGTTGAGTGGATCCAAACCATGTCTACCCCAATCACTGTCTTCACTCAGATCTAATACCTTTGCCATTTGGGGGAGTTTTTCCCAAGGCCTAGGATTTCCTGACCCCGGCTTCCATTTGTACGGGCAGTCTTGGGCTCAGCAGCTGGCTCCTTTACTTGCAATGTGCACACTGGTCCTTTTCAAGGTGTTTTCTATCTCTCTTCAATTGGAGTCTCCCTTCTCTGCTCTCCATTCTCTAGCCAGGATTCTCTGTAAATTCCTTTCCTGTCACCTTTCTTTTTCTCATCTCTTTCATTTTCTTCCTATCTCTTTTTCTGGGCTTTACTTTCCCCCTGTTGTGGTAGACTTCCTCATGTTAACTATATAGGAAACTTGGTGTTGGTTCCCAGGGGATCTAGCCTAAAGTCTTTCCTCTACTGCATTGATCACCTGTATGAAGGTCCCTATGGGTGGCTACCCTATTCTGAAGGTGGACCATTGAGAGAAGCAAAGAGTAACTAACTTGCACTTCTTTACTATATATAAATCAGTATTTGCACCCAAAAGGAGGCCTATGAAAGGTTTTCATGCGCAGCTTGTACAGATCCCAGCAGACGAGAGGGTTCCACTAGGGAGAGTTTATTAAGAGCATTGAGTGAGAGCAAGAGGAGAGAGAGCAGAGAGATAGAGAAGTACAGGCCGGCCATGACCACTTGGAGAGAGGGGGAAGGGAAGGGGGGAGGAGAGAGGGAGCAGAGAACCTGCAGGCAGAGGGATCAAGGGAGCAAGAGAGAGGAGGGGGTAAGTAGCCCCTTTTATAGTGGGTAGGCCTACCCAGGTGTTGCCAAGTAACTGTAGGGAGGAGCTTACCTGGCTACTGCCAGGTGACTGTGGAGGTGGAGTTTAACAGATTACTAACATTCCCACATTTTGGTTTAATTAAAAAGAAAAATTAGAAGTAACAGCAAAGCAGGAATAGGGTCATCGTGAAATCTGGCTACTTCCTGCTGGCATTGGGGGCGACATGTCTTTAGGGGGAACCTAGAAGAATGGGTATGATGGTTGTTTGTTCGGTCTTAGGAGAGCTGGCTGTTTTCTGTTGTCCAGGGTTTGTGGAGCCATCTGAGCAGAGGCCAGAAGGAATAGGTCCAGTAGAAGCAGCTGTGTGTGTGGCAGGAGATGGAGCATCTGAAGGTTGCTTCTCTGGAGCTGTTTTGGATGCACCTGGACTTGACAAGATGTAGGAAATAGGATTAAGAACACTTGGAGAAAGAAATTTTTTCCAAGATGTACATTTGAAACCCAGAGGGATCCCACCCTTTGTTATAGGTAGTGAGTGGGAACTTGAGGCAGATGTACTTATCTAGATGGGAGATCTGTGTGGGTTTCTTGTAGCTTATATGTTTACAAACAGATAACAGCATGAGTTAACAACACAAGCAGTCTTTTAATTGAGTTTAGGTAATGAGGTAACAGATAATATCTGTGAAAACTTAGCTGTCAATGTAATCAGAAGTCTGATAGAGAGAACAACAATCTACCAGTTATATATTATTTTTTAAAAAATGACAGAGTCCACTAGCCAATAGTTCCCGTGGTTTCCATATTCTCTTGGGCAAAGTCAGTTTGGTTTCCAAGCGCAGAAAATGCTGGATTTTTTTCTATGGAATGGATACACATGACATTAGAAATGACTTACCTTGGTTTGACTTAGCTAAGTCATTTGACTCAGAGCATCCAGTCTAGCCCCCTGCATTTGTTTGTATACAATCCAGGCTGTATGGTCTAAGAGTCCGTTGTCCGTTTCTTCTGAAACCATCTTGGGTAACTTTTAGAGGCTTTGGGAATTCTATCAGCCATAAACTTAAAATATACAATTAGCAGACTTCTGACAAGATTCAGAGCTATAAGGATTGGTTGTAACTGAATAAAAATTTATCGAGGCAGGTTAGGAAAGAGTCTTAAGTAACTTTGGTGGGTTGCATAGAAAGAGAAAAGCACATTTTTGTGTTAACAAAGGAGAAAGCTGGCAATAGTGTCATAAGGTACAGCTGGTGGGCTGGAGCTGTGAGCCACAGGTGCTGCGGGTGGCTGTAGGGTGGGACTTCCTGTTAGCATCCAGAAGTTGCTGCCCAGTGACTCTGACAGCAGTTCTAGTGTAGTGTGCGTGGAACCTGCAGACGTCCGCCAGAGTCACAGTAATTCTCCCATTTTGGTTTAATTAATTAAAAAAGAAAAATTAGAAAGAGGTGTGGGGCAGATCCTTGGGTGGGGAGCAGGCAGAACACATGGAAAGGGGTATAGGGATTTTTTTCTAGTTATCAGACTGCTTGCAGTATGTGTCTGTGGGTACAGACGAAGGTAACGTGCCTATTGGGTGATCGTGGCTATTACCAACTTATCATTCAGCATCCCAAATGAAAAGCTGGCAACAAAACAATCAGGCTCAGGCTAGATAATCAGGTCATCATGAGAGCATCTAGGGGCCTCTGTGGGACTCCTGGAGCCCACCAGAAAGTAGCTCTCACCTGGTACCAGGATTTCAGCTGTGTTTGGGGGAAGCTGGAAGCTACTTTAGAGGGAAAATCACCCAATGGGCCAATGCCATGGAAAGCCAAACCCTTAGTTCAGGAAATGCTGGCCAGGGGCTAATCGGGTGTTCAGGGTTCCTCAAGCCTAATGGAAACTCCTTACCAATTATGTCGATGTCTGTTTGCAAGTTTGTGTAGTCTGATATCAGGAAATGTGGAACGGGGGGGTCTACATGCCTGTCCTGCCACCTGGCCCACGTGGCAGAGTACCACGCGGGCAGCCGCTGCGACTCAACTCACCTGGTGGAAGGTTGGCGAGCCTCGCAGCAGCATCACGGGACTGGATTTGTAGCAGCGGATGTTAATTTATGCTCTCAGTGGTGGCAGTGTTTTTTGTAGCAGCGGATGTTAATTTATGCTCTCAGTGGTGGCAGTGTTTCCATCTTGTACAGTCGCAGCAGCTGAGTTCCCCGAAGTCTTTGATCTTGGGTTTTGGCACCAATGTTAGACTTTGGCATGCAGCTTGGAACAGACAACACCAGACCAGACGGTTCTAAAGGAGAGGGGGTTTATTCAGCTCAGAGGGCAAAGGTAGGGAGAGAAATGGGAGAAGATTGTAGAGAAAAAGGAGAGAGAGGAGAGAGAGGAGAGAGAGGAGAGAGAGGAGAGAGAG